CATCACATCACCATCATCACCACCAACATCACCATCATCACCATCATCACCATCATCACTACTATCACCATCATCACCACCATTATCACCGTCATCCCTACCATCACCATTATCATACCATCACATCACCATCATCACCACCAACATCACCACTACCACCATCAGTCATTCTAAGGAAGGAACACAAGGATCTTCATGCTGATTTACTTGAAGACCACATGCAAATAAATCACAATTTGCCAATTCTGTTCTCCTGATGGGTAGAATTACCTGTAGGTTGGTGTTACTGAACTGAGAATTAGGGAAGGAGGATTTGTAGGTAGAAGTTTCTGTCCTGCCTGGTCCCACAGCTGTTTAGTCCCAAATAAACACACAGAGGCTTATATTAATTATAACTGTTTGGCTGATGGCACAGGCTTCTTATTGGCTAGCTCTTTTTTAATTATTAACCCATTTCTATTAATCTGTCTATCTCCACATTGTCTTGGCTTACTCGTGATTCCTGGACCTCTTGTTTTCTTGGCAGCTACATGGCATTCCCCTGGTGACTCATTCTTTGCATTCCTCTTCCCAGAATTCTCCTAGTATTGTAGTCCCAACTATACTTTCTGCTTGGCTGCATCCTGTCTTTCCATTGGACAAAACAGCTTTATTCATCAACCAATAAGAGAAACATATATTCACAGCATAGAGAAGGACATCCCCCATCAAGCATTGTCTGGGATTCTCCCAGCGTTTACTGCCTGAAGCCTTTGGGTCCCTCTCCATCTGCCTCCTCACCATACACCCTGCAGAGTTGGACAGCATTCATAGCACACACTGGGGACTATGGGTAGTCAGGGCTGCTGCTTCTCGAGAGCAAAGTCATAGTGATGGAGAAGTCATGCTAGGTTTCAGAGTTCCCATTCCTACCACCGAGACACTTCTCAAACTACTTTTCCATTGTTGAATAGCGTGTGGCTAGATTTTGGGTCCTATAATTTTTTCAGATGCTACACTCAAAACGAAATACAATCCCTCCTGCTGACTGAAGCTTTGGGTTTTTGCAGGGGCGAGGCCCTGGTTCGGCACCCACACCACTGTGCAGCCGCCATGCTTGCTGTTGGCTGGCCACCTTTCAAATTTGTTTTCCCACCTTCCTCTGGCTCCTTAGTGCCACTCACTGGCCACACTCCACTGCCTGTCATCTCACTGTGGTTTGTTAACACGCCATCCTCTCCACCCTGGGAGGCCATCTTCTGTTCTAATGAAGGAACAAGAGCAAGCCCCCACTCTCGCCATCCGCTCGGCTCCTACGCCATCCACTCTGCCTCCCTTCCTGCGGAAGCACGTGATAGGTCCTGCTCCCGTGAGCGCCGCCCTCCCCCCTACATCTGCTCAGAGCCCATAGGTGCTGACACGCACCTTCCAGCCCCTGCTTCTCCTCCCCTGGATCATCAACATCAGCATTAAAACTTAATTCTTGCCGGGTGATGGCGCACACCTTTAATCCCAGCACTTGGGAGACAAAGGTAGGCAGATCTCTGAGTTCCAGTCCAGCCTGGTCTGCAGAGTGAGTTCCAGGACAGCCAGGGCAACACACAGAGAAACCTTGTCTTGAAAACAAAAGAAACAAACAAAAAAACCCTAAAACAAATGGATCAAAACACAAAAACTTCTTTCTTTTTAAAATAAATTTTATTTAAATTAGAAACAATCTCATTTTACATATCAATCCCAGTTCCCTCTCCTTCCCATCCTCCCATTCCCTCCCACAGCCCCACCCATCCCTTACCCCACCTACTCCCCAGGGAGGGTGAGGCCTTCCATGAGGGGTCATCAAAGTCTGTCAAGTCATCTGGGGCTGGGCCTAGGCCCTTCCCAGTGTATCTAGGCTAAGAGGGTATCCCTCCAACCTTGAAATAAAAAAAGAAAAAAAGTCTTAAATTGTATTAATAATTGTGGTGAAAAACCTCTGCATGACATGCAGTTAAGTTTCAATTGTCTCTAAGCATAAATTAGCTGTGTTGTGCAACCTATCTCTAGAGTTGGCAATGTGAACTCTGAACTCTAAGCTCTTCACCCCACCTCCAGCAGCTCCCCCTTCCCCCGCCCCGGCAGTGCAATGCCCACCCCACTCTCTATGCGGCTCACTTCCGTACTGTAAATGGTGAGCCTGTAGCGCCAGGCGTCCGGACTGTCTTTCAGACTGCCTTCAATTCTTTCCCGTGAGCGTGTGCTGAGTCTCTGGGCCGTGTTTGAATTTTCAAGGAACTTTCTTCCTGATTTCCATAGTGACCACACCTAGCATACAAGCATTCCAGTTTCTCCACGACCTTGCCAACGTCACTATTTCGCCTTCTGTTTTTCCTTTAGACAGTGTGAGGTGGCACCTATCTCTCCTAAGGCAAATCTTCATCTACTTCTCCCCATTGCTGTGGCTACTTCTCTGTTCCCCTCCTTGACAAAACTGTAAATTCCTGCTTCATTTCCTGCTCCCAGGATCTTTTTTTCCCTATTATTTCCTAAGTTTATTTCAATAGGAACCATCCCATTTAAAAATTTCAGTGCATCTGTTATGGTAGGGCACACCTGTAACTCCATCCTTACTCGCCTGAAGTCTTTCTGGCCCCAACCCTCAGCGTCAGCCGTGCCTTTCCTGCCTGGACACACCCACCTTTCAGTGTCCCCAGAAGCGCCTGTCTCTCCTCATCTGCACGAGTGCCACCATGAGTACCTACAGCCCCCTCTTGCTCATCTACTCCAGCGGTCTCCCACCGGGTCCCTTCAAGCCTCTTTTCAACACGAGGGGTCAAAAGGGTCAAGCGTTAGCTGCCTGCTCAAAAGTCTCTGGGCAATAGTCGGAGGCCTTGCATGTCCTCCAAAGCCAAGCCCAGTCTCGTGGGCCTTTTTCACCTCACTCCCTCCTCCTGCCCCAGGACCTTGCTGCCTGGTGCCCTCAGTGCCAAGAGCAGTCTTCCCCTGGACGCCTGTGTTCAATTCGATCTTTATACAGTGTGGCCCACGCCATTCTGTTTCAACATTTCACAAAGTGCACCTCTTCAGTTATGACCCAGCCCTTGGTCTCATTGTCAGTGCCTGCTCCTCTCACTTCCTAACCCTGTATCACACACACTTGGTATGTTCGAATCCCTGCCCCATTACAGTGTTAGTTCCATGAGAGTAAATTTAGTTTGTTTTACACTCAGTTGTATTGAAAAACAGCTAGTCTGGCTTGAAACAGGATCGTACAGATCTGTAGAGTGACTAAATGGATGAATATAACACACTGGTTGTAATGATCTGAATGAAAATGGCTCTCACAGGTCCGTATGTTCCAGGGATTAGTCACCAGGGAAGGGAACTGTGTGGGAAGGATTAGGAGGTGTGGCCTGTTGGAGGAGGTGTGTCACTGGGAGTAGGCTTTAAGGTTTTGAAAGCCCAGGCCCAGTCTCACTCTCTCTGCCCACTGCCTGTGCATCAGGATGTAAAACTCTCAGCTGCTGCTGCAGCATCCAGGTCTGCCTGCTTCCCACCATGATCACCACGGACTAAACCTCTAAACTGTAATCGAGCCCCGGTTAAATGCTTTATTTTATGAGTTGCCTCTGTCATGGTGTCTTCTCACAGCAGTAGAGCAGTAACTGAGACAATGAATACATAGTATTTGGAGCGCTCCTTCTCCATCACTGTTAGTGGGATATGCAGCATATGGAGCACTCCTTCTCTATTACTATTAATGAGATATGCAGGATTTGGAGCGCTCCTTCTCCATCACTGTTATTACTCCATCCTAAAAGTCTAGAACATAGCTAGGATGTAGATGCACGTAATTAACAATGGAACACTACACCTGGCTGTCCAAAGTATGCTCATGGATCAGCAGAGACACCCCACCCAGGGGCTCATTCACATGTGAAATCCTACCCCGGAACTCAGAATCAAAACTGGCATTTTTATGAGACCCACGAGAGATTTCTTGAAAAAGTTGAAAAGCTTGGAGGTTGAGCAATTGCTCTTGAACTATGTCTACACACTGAAAAAATTTAAAACTTTTGAATCTCCTGATATATGGGGTCCCACTCCTGCAAACTGACTTGATTCTTCTGGAATGGGGTCCCCACATAAGTCGCTGGTGAAAAGGAAAAGCTAATGACTTATTCCATCTTCCAACTGTATCCACCATCTGTCCCCATTTATCCCCCACTGCTGTCCACCACTCGACACAACCCAGTGCCAGGTGCAGAGTGGCTTATTGACCCAGTATCACTGACTTGTCTTGGCCAATTCAATTAGTGCAAATTCCATCTCCTTGCTGTGGTCTCTGGGGAGACCTTCACATTGGTGGCTGCCCGCCCATTCCTGTCACAGCCAGATTGTGTCTGACAGTCCGCCACAGGAAGTCACCACTGAACAGCTTGCCAGCAACCTGGAGGATGCTTCTGCATGCTGTGAGCTCATCAGAGAGCATCATGGTCCATCTCCTGGTGGATATGGAGGAAGCCCTCTGGCCAGGATTCTACAGAACACAGAGGTGTGGATAGGACAGTCTGCATCCTTTCTCAGGGGCTCGTGGGTTTTAATATTCATGCATCTTTGTGTTTCTGCACCCCGCTACCTGGCACAGTCATTTCCTGGGTAGCGCCAGTGTAAAGTGCAGTACAGAGCTGTCCTATGACTTTAATTCACGAATTTTGAACATAGACTTGAACCTGAAGCCCCTTCCCCAAAGCTGAGCAGCAGAAAGGTGTAGAAGAAAGAGCCCAGAGGTGGTGGTGCACACCTTTAGTCCCAGCACTCTGGAGGCAGAGGCTGGCAGATCTCTGTGAGTTTGAGACTAGCCTGGTCTACAGAGCGAGCTCTAGGACAGGCTCCAAAGCTACACAGAGAAACCCTGTCTCAAAAACAAAAACAACACCAAAAAAGAATTGATGTCTGCGGACTAGCAGACATCCAGGAGAGACTGGGGGTGGCGTAGAGAGCATTTCCAGATGCTCACTGATTAAAAGGCTCTCTTGCAGATCAAGTCTCCAGTGCTCATGACTCCCTTGGCCCTGTCACCTCCACGGAGTACCCCAGAACCTGACCTCAGCTCCATCCCTCAGGATGCAGCCACCATCCCCAGCTTGGTGGTCCCACAGGCTCTCACAGGTATGTCAATAGAATGAACTCCAAGGTGGCAATAGTTTTCTAGAAACAGGGTAGTATCCTTTCACCTAAGTTACTTTATGAGTCTAAGAATTTCTCTGAGATATTTCACAGGGTGTGGTGGCACAGGTCTTTAATTCCAGCACCCAACACAGGAGGCAGAGGCAGGCTGATCTCAGAGTTCAAGGCCAGCCTAGCCTACAGAGCAATTTCTGGAACAGCCAGAGCTACACAGAGAAACCCTGTTTCTAAAAAAGAAAAGTTTCCCTAAGATAGCCCAAATAAAGATCTGTCATGGTAACTGGGCAGCAGACAGGACAGACCTGGTCTCTGAAAACACGTTTGGTTATTAAAAGCCATTTTCTGTGAATGTTGGGATAGGCTGACTGCATTGGAGTAGACAAGTAAGAATAGTGTTCAGACCTGAGTGTGTGCTCACTTGAGTGTGTCCAGACCTGAGTGTGTGCTCACTTGAGTGTGTCCAGACCTGAGTGTGCTCACTTGAGTGTGTCCAGACCTGAGTGTGCTCACTTGAGTGTGTCCAGACCTGAGTGTGCTCACTTGAGTGTGTCCAGACTTGAGTGTGTCCAGACCTGAGTGTGTGCTCACTTGAGTGTGTCCAGACCTGAGTGTGCTCACTTGAGTGTGTCCAGACCGGAGTGTGTCCAGACCTGAGTGTGCTCACTTGAGTGTGTCCAGACCTGAGTGTGTCCAGACCGGAGTGTGTCCAGACCTGAGTGTGCTCACTTGAGTGTGTCCATTTTGCATTTGTATTTTCAGTTGCTACCACATCCCCCAACCCTGTGTGGCACACATTCCAATCTCTCTCTCTTCTTGATGATGGTGATGAGGATGATGTATCAGTCAACCAACAACTACCTCTTAATTGTAACAGTAGTTAGATGGCTACAAACACACACACACACACACACACACACACACAGCCTCTCACAAAGGCTACAAAGACTGTTACACACAGCCTCTCACAAAGGCTACCTAGGCACACACACACACACACACACACACAGAGTCAGCCCCTCATCACAACTTCACTCCCTGCCCCCAAGCACCTTAAGTCCCTTTGGTCCCCTTCCACTGTAAAGACTAACCCTGTTAACATGGCTGAGAAAGCCCTGCAGGTTCCAGCCCTCACCCCCCACACCCCTTGATCCGACTCACCAGGTGCTGTCCATAGCGTCTCAGCATATTCTCTTCCTCTATTGGGGATGAGCTTCCTGTCTAGTCACCCCACTGCTCAGACATTCTCCAGGAAGCCTAGCGCCTTCCTTGCCAGCGGTGTCCTGCTGGAGCACTTCCTTTCTGGGATCCTCAGAGCCTGAGGTCTCACCTCAGCACCTGAGAACAGAACAGGCAGGGACCACATCCCTTGCCTGCGGGTACACAGGCCTGCTATTCACTACTTTCTTGATTATCCAAGATGAGGGCACGTGGGGGCAGCAGCCTTAGAGAATGTAATGAACTCTTGGGTTCTGAGGGAATTGCCACCAAGCTCCATGTTGCAGCCCTGACTGCAGATCTGAGCCATTCTAGTGAGCACTTCAGCCTCTGTTTCCTCATGAGCAAAGAAAAGTCTTAATATAACACCCAAGGCAGGCTTGCTTAAAACATAGGAAGTACCTGTCTGCTGTCACTATTCAACATCCCCAAAGACCTAGTAGTCACCTCCTAATGTCCTCAACATTCCACTGGCCAGGCAATGGTGGCACAGGCCTTTAATCCCAGCACTTGGGAGGCAAAGGCAAGTAGTTCTTTGTGAGTTTGAGGTCAGCCTTGTCTACAGAGAGAGTTCCAGGCGACCCAGGGCTACACAGAGAAACCCTGTCTTGAAAAGCCAAACCAAAACAACAACCCCCACAAAAAAAGCACTCCCCTGAAACAGTGACCTCTGAGGTAAGATGCTTACGTATGTCATAGGAAGACAGTGCTTAAGACAGGCAATTGATGTGTGGAAGAAAATATGACTCTGTTACTAACCTCCGGTTTTACTTTATTCTTGTAAAATTTCTATTTCTTGCATCTGTTTTATACTGTCAACAATACTTGTGAGGCAGAACCTCCTGCATTGCCACCGAAAGGGAGGAAATGGCATTTCCACTTTACTTTGGGGGGTAGTTTTTCTCTAGGAAATTCTTCATTTGTAAAGGGTCTGGCATTGAAAACAGAGAGGAATCTTGGGGCTTTCCTAAGCAGGTCACGGTAACATTACTGCTTTTAAATCTTCAAACAGCTGACCTGGCAGTAGAAGACAACATGCATTATATCAGAGCAGTCTGGAGTCAGGCTGACCTGTTGGGCAATTTTCGTTAAATTACAGGTGACATAGTTGTGAGCGGGCACGTACGCCTTGTTAGGACAGAGTTGAGTTGAACTTGTATCCGCTAGTCCTGAGCCCCTCAGCCGCTGACTGTCACACTAATAATGACCCCATTGGTGAGTCTTCTCAGTAGAAACGCTTTCTCTAAAAAAGGACTCATGATGGTCCCTGAGATGGACCACCGCGCACAGGCACTTGCTGCCAAGTAGCTTGGTGACCTAAGTTCAATTCCTGGAACCTACATGGTGGGAGGAGACAACAGACTCCCTCAAGCTGTCCTCCGATTTCCGCATGGGTGCCCCATGGCATGCCTGGCACACACACACACACACACACACACACACACATGCATGCACATGCACGCACACACATGCACACACACTCACACACACACATACACACTCACACAAACATGCACATACACACACTCACACAAACATGCCCACACACACACATGCATGCACACGCACACGCACCACAATGTAAAAGGGGATTTATGAGCTTTTCATTTTCTCTTTTAACTGTAAAATTCATAAAACTCCCCACTGGGGTCTGCTGAAAATATACTGAATAAGGAAAACCAGTTTTAGAGACATTCTGACATTTTTCTGTAGATTTATGTTATATAAATATACTTACCTACAAAATATACTAATACATGCTACATTAGCATAGTCAAAATGTAAATGAACACAAGTTATGTCCAGCATCTTATGATGAGATATATTATCTTAAAGATGTGGGGATTTTGGGACTGGAGAGGTGGCTCAGTGGTTAAGAGCATTTGTTGCCCTTGGAGAAGACCTCGTTTCAGTTCCCAGCATCCACACAGCACCAGAGCCCAGGGCACATGATACAAAGGCATATACGTAGGCAAACACACCCATACATATAACATTTTAAAAAAAATCTTTAAAGTATGGGGTTTTGATTGATGGATTGATGGGTATTGACCATTGTTTTCTGAAATTATAAATAACTATCCCATTGGACCGCCACACCGCCTCTGGGGTGATTATTGTCACAGCATGTTTTTTATTGGTGCAAGTTTGCAGATTAATGGCAGAGGGAGATTTTGTCATGGACCTGCCCAGACGGAATTACCTTTATGTACTTGTCTGTACAGTTAGAGGCGACCTAGCTGTCCCTCTGCCCATGGGATAGCTCTTGGTCGGGAGGTCACCTCTAGACCAAGTTCCGACAATTGGGAAGCACAGCTTCTTACCTTCTTACACCGGGAGGCTCAGTCCCATGCCTGCCCTTTGCAGCTTTCCCAAGGTCAGGGCCTGGTAATAGCCCGAGGTGGCCCAGCCTAGGCAGCCTGCAGGCCTGATGCACTTGCAGTGCTAGACACCTCACATCCACTCTTCTCTGTGCCCACAGTGTGCCTCTACATTAACAAACAGGCCGACGCCGGGCCATACCTGGAGAGGAGGAAGCTGCAGCAGCTTCCTGAGTGCCTGGGGCCTGAGCGGCCTGCAGCTGTCCTGCAGCAGGCTGTGCAGGCATGCATCGACTGTGCGCACCAGCCCAGGCTGGTCTTCTCCCTTGTCAAGCAGGGCTACCGCGGTGAGCTGGTGTCAGGTAAGGCATGGGGATATGGGAGGCATGCTAGGAGTCTCTCTCTGTAGCCATCCCCGAGTGCGACAGTGGGTGTGGCCAGAGCCTGCCCTTCACCTACTGGGCTCCAGGGCCTCTGCGAGCTTGTGAGCAGAATGCATCCCTTGGGACAACTTGAGAGACAGCTACCAGAGCTGGACAGCAAGAATGACCTCCTGGATCCTCACCCTGACTCCTCTGTCCTCTCCCCACTTCCAACACTGGTCCTCTGCTTTCAAGTGTATCCACAATAAGGTCCCAGCCACAGTGGGGTTTTTGTTTTGTTTTTCGAGACAGAGTTTCTCTGTAGCTTTGGAGGCTGTCCTGTCGCTCTGTAGATCAGGCTGGTCTTGAACTCACAGAGATCCGCCTATCTCTGCCTCCCGAGTACTGGGATTAAAGGCGTGTGCACCAACGCCCCGCTAACAGTGGGTTTTACGATAAGGCCAGACTTGTTCTTTGCCCTAAATCCTCCACTGGCTCCCATGTCCAAGTAAAAGCCAGTATCTTTACAGGGCCCACAGGCCTATGTGAACGGCTTCCAGATCCCGCTCCAAACTCAGGGTCACGTGTCTCCCATGTTAAGCTAGGTTAGATGGCTTCTTTGCTAGTCTTCCTGCAGCCTTCAACTGTTCTCCCACCTTGGGGCCTTTGCCCCCACTGACTTCATTTCTGAGTTTCTTACCTGTGGTCCATACCGCATGCTCCTGGGAAGCCTTTTGGGTTTCCACTTAAATGCTGCCTTATCAGAGTCCCATCTCTCTGACCTTTCTCATAGCACCCACACCACGGAGGACAACCAGCAAGTCTCACAGTTTCAGCCCATCTCAAGGGCACAGCTGTTTCAGCCCATCTCAAGGGCACAGCTGTTTCAGCCCATCTCAAGGGGCACAGCTGTTTCAGCCCATCTCAAGGGGCACAGCTGTTTCAGCCCATCTCAAGGGGCACAGCTGTTTCAGCCCATCTCAAGGGGCACAGCTGTTTCAGCCCGTCTCAAGGGGCACAGCTGTTTCAGCCCATCTCAAGGGGCACAGCTGTTTCAGCCGTACCTGCAGCTTCCAGCAGACTGGGCTTCAGAGTACACAGTCCTGACTCTTTCAAATCTTTTGCCTGTCTATCCTACTCTATACTACTCTTGTCACTACCTGGACCACCAGGGCTTGTATTATTGGAGAGTCAGGCCAGTGTCTTCAGGCTCAGCATTGTGGCTGTGGCCTTCCTTAGCTCCAAGGAAAAGGCAGAATTCCTGGCAATGGGCTGCTGGGTTAGTTAAGAAGGAGTAAGGGGAGCAGTGTGAGGTTGCATTCCTAGAGTCCCAGAACTCCAGAGGTGGAGGCAGGAGTATCCTGAGTTTGCAGCCAGGGTGGGCTACACAGAGTTCCAAGGCATTATGCTACACAGTGAGATGCTAGGTCAAAGCAGGATGTCCTCTCTTAGGTGTCTGTGTGTCCCTCACACTGGACCTGGTGTGCAGCTCTGGGGTGAGGGACTGTGAGACAGGACGGACCCTGCCCAGTGCTTCAGCAAACTGACATTAGTTACTTCCCAATGGTTATGGTCTAGAGCTGGAACCCAGTGTCCATCTAGACAGCCTCCCTTTTAAAATATTTATTTTTATTTTATGTGCATCTGTGTTTTGCCTGCATGTATGTTTGGAAGGGTTTGGGTTCCCTGGAACTGGAGATACAGACAGGTGTGAGCTGCCATGTGGGTGCTGGGAATTGAACCCGGGACCTCTGGAAGACCATACAGTGCTCTTAACCACTGAGCCATTTCTCCAGCACTGAGTCAAAGACTCTTCTCTTGAGGGCTTCCCCTGGAATCCCCTGGGGTCCTCTGATGGCAGATGGCATGTAGAATTGGAGACTTCAGGGTGCACTCAGGTGTCTGTATCTATCTCCTCCTGGATAGAGATGGCCTCCTGGGGAGAATTATCAATAAGTGTGTAATTACATCAGGAGAGCACACATCCACACTGCCAACGATCTGCCCACTTGGAGGGTTCAAAGTCACTGACACCTCAAAGCAGTGAGCTTACCAGGGCTGTGACTGGGTTCTCTTTAGCTCAGGACAGTTGGAGAAAGGCTGATTCTAGGGCTGGAGCATATACTGAAGTGTCCCAAACCAAAAAGTGTGGGATTGAAAGGACACAGGAGTCAACCCAGCAGAGTTCCCAAAATGACAGCTGGGACAATTTGAGGAACAAGATAAATAGCCTTTGACAACCCAGGACATAGAGCATGCATCCTGGAGTCACATCAAGTTTAACAAAATGGCCGAATAGAGAATAAACCTTTGTGGTGAGACAAGTTTTCCTTACAGAGGAACTGTAGGTAACATGTGGGATTTGTGCTGTTCTGGTCAGGAAATGGAGTTAGACACTCCCAAGACCCTTGGGTGTGGGCAGACTTAGTGACTTGGTAACCCAGACTTAGTGATGGGGCCCAGGAGCCAGATATGGAGAGCAGAGTGGAAGGGTGTGGGACACACCTAAGTGTGGAAGGTTCCCACCCCCCAGAAGTGCCCTGTGGGCTTGACGGGGCCCCTCTTGGTATTCCATGAAGGGTTCTTTGTCTCTATAGTCTTTCTCTCCTGTCCCCAGGCCCCAAACTCCAGTCATGAGAAAAGAAAAAAATCAGACAAATGCAAATGGACAGATAACTTCACAGTGTCTGAGTAGAACTAGTCAGAGCTGTTGCCACAGTCATGAAAATCAAGGAAAGGCTGTCGAACTGTCATAGACTAAGGAGACAAAGGGACAGGACAACTAAAACCCGTGCTGTCCTGGGTGGTACCCCTAGAACGGAACCAGGGTGTTATCAAGACTTCCAGTGTAACTCAGCGGAGCCCACTCACAAACAAAAGGGAAATGGATTGCCCTCCCTGCTTGCTTCGCCCAGCTCTGAGTTGCTGTTCCTGGTTTTCCAGTCTCTGCTTCCTTTGACGGAAAACAGCACCTGAGGAGTCTGCCTGTGGTGAACAGTGTGGGCTATGTCCTCCGCTTCCTGACCAAACTGTGTCGCAGCCTCCTGTGTGACAACCTCTTCAGTCACCTGCCCTACCCGGGGAGCCTAAGTGCCACGGAGAAGACCCAGGAGAGAGAGGACGGGAGGACTGAGTCAGGTGAGTATGGCTTAGTTGTCTTCTCCTGCTGCAGGGACTTCCCTCAAGACTGGCAGATGAGGCAGTGCTGAGGAGTGCAGCTGAACTCTAGAGGCGCAGACTCATCTCTCTGGGCTACTAGGACTCCCAGCTGTTGAAACTCAGGTGTCCAGACTACTCCTGTCCTATACTCCTGGGAAACGTGGCCTCTCCGGCTCCTGGGAGCTGACACTCTAGCTTTGCAGCCTGAGTGTTTACAATTTAGAAGGTGACACCACATCACACCTTCCAAATGATGTTCCTCCCCTTACTGTAAGGGAACTCTGGGTAACTTTTTATCATTGTTGAGGCAGTGAAGGACCCTGAAACCAAGGATCTAAACAATCCCAAAGGATTTAGGCGGATGGGACAGATGCCGTTTTCCCGTAGGGAATGTCCCATGTTTATCTGCTTGAAGAAGCTGTGTAACCAAGATCCTGCCTGTGGAGATTTGATTGGGCCATGCATCAAATACACCTACCTTTGAGAACTGGTGTCTGCCCTTATCACAGGATGGAAAGTAACGAAAAGTTGAGCAACTTGGATCCCACAGCCACACAATGGCCCAGATTGAATAAATGACCAGTGGGTGGGGCAGGGAGACCAATACCTCAGCGTTATCTGCTTCTGCAGATACCAATGACAGGTAGAGTCCTTAGCAAACTAGAGTCAAGGATTTGTAGAATTCAGCAAGAATCTCAAGGGAGAGCAGAGACGTGTTGACTTTTTTCTTTCTCTGAAAGTAGCATTGTTGGTCTAGGAAACGCCCATCGGAAACAAAGCAGAACCAGGGCCTTGTTAAGTTGATATCAAAGTAGCCAGCACACCCTGGGACCCATCTCCCAGGTGAGTTTAGAGTCTGTCACATTGACAATGAACACCAACCATCACTAATCAGATTCCTAGACAGTTGTCAGACCTTCCCCTGTCCAAAGCTCTATGTGAGACCCTACTATGGAAAGGCATAGTTTAGGAAAGTTTTTGAGGAATAAAATCACAAATAATGAAAAGATAATGTTCCATCTGCAGGCCTGGGATCTCAGATAGAATTAGCACAGAGTATAAAATACTTGCAATCAAGATGACTATCTGTCAGGGAGGTGTACTAGCACATTCCTGCAACATATCACTTAGGAGGTGGAGGCAGGGTGATGATGAATTGGAAGCTAGCCTGGGCTACACAGTGATGCTGTCTTAAACATGAATGAATGAATGAATGAATGAATGAATGAGGGGCTAAGTCTCAAGTCCAAGAGGAGAGTAGGGAAGGATTCATTTAGATCCTTCAAAAGGGGTTTCTTGGAAACAATAGGAACCTTGCCTATAGTTCTGCTTTGATCACACTTAGGCCTTGGAAGAAGGAAGAAACCATATGTAGAAAAGTAGCTGAGTATGAATAGCGTGAGCAGAGGCTACGTACTGTACCTTCCTCTATGCTTCTCTTCATGCCTCTGTGTGAGCTCCTCTCTATCCTCTGGGCCTGTACTTCCTACATCAATCAAGAAGTTGGAGGTGTGGCTACAAAGTATTCCTTCTGTCGCCTCATAGCCATAGTGTGCTCAGAGACTTATGGAGTTAAGATCTTGGTACGAGGCTAGCAGAGATATGTGGTTTCATTTCTCAGACCCTTACCCCTTGTTGCGTTGAACAAACCGAGAACCATAGGACACGACCAGGACCAGGTGCACACAGCTCGTGTTTCCCACTGCCCTGGAAGTCTGTCCTCTGGAAGCAGCTCTTCTCTGACTATGGATAAAATCTAGAACAAACCTTGTGACCTTTCCAGTTCCTTTCATGTTACAAAATGTTCTTATCCAGAAACTAATGTGCTCTGGTGGCTGTGATCTCTGAATGTCCCTCAGCGATCTCCTCCTGTGTTTCCAGCTTAGCTTCCTGCAGGTCCCTTGCCTGTGGTGGTGAAGGTGGGCATGGTTGGATTTTGTCACCAGCCCTCCGTCCTCGCATGCACAGCAAATCCTGATTGATTTCTGAACCCCTCACAGCATCGTGGGGGAGGAGGAAAGGAAAGAGACCACTAGGCTTTCCTTGACAGACAGGTCGGCATTGTGTTCCCTGTTTCTGTCAGGTGTTTGAAGCTGATTGTCGTCTGTGGGCTCGTGAGTGGGCTCTTACTGTCTGTCACCCACATGCTTCTTGACACGGACAAATATCTGCTGCTCTTCTCTAGGTAGCTACCTACATTTCCTTTGGGGACCAATTCTAGTCTCTCTCTCTTTGGTTGGGGTATCATGGCCTTGACTTGGCCCCCACGGCCCCTAGATTTTTGAGGTAGGATCTAGAACTTGTAGTCTTCCTGATTCCCTTATGGAGATCACAGGTGAGTGCTAGGCTGAAGCCCGCCCTGTGGCATGGCCCTAAGGCACTCCTGCAGCTCTCTCCAGATGGCCGCAACTGTTTCTTGAGAAACACACATTCTTTGCCCCAGCAATCTCAGCACACATATGGAACTCTTCAGGGTACCTCTCTTTTCCTCTGTCAGCTCTATATACTCTTTCAGATTTTCCAAGGAACTCAGACGGTAATCGAGTGGAGATCTCAAACTCCAGCAAGTAGAGACCAAACTATTCATGTGGCCATGTTTGAGCCCTGGAAATAGACTGGATATTTCTCTTCAGTACTTGGCTTCTAGTCAACCTTATGGTCAACCTCAGCCTCCTCAGTCTTGTTGACACACTAGATGTGGGTAATCATTTACTGGAGAAAAATCAGAGACTCTCCCTCTCCCTTTCTCCCTCCCCCCCCCCACCCATGCATATGTGTGTGTGTAGGATGTAATATTTATTGATGAACATGAGCTCTCCCTCTCTCCCTCTCTCTCCCACCTCCCTCTCTCTCTGAGTGTAGGGTGTAATATTTATTGATGAGCATGATTAATGGTAGGGGGGAGCCCAATGGAAACCCTTAAGAGCACAGGGCCTGACTTTTACCTATAGGACCCATGACTGGGGATGTATTTGCCCCCATAACCACTATGAATGAGTTACTGGTGGAGCCCACTTGAAGAGTTGGCTCTTCTGGCATCCAGGGACAGTGAAACTGTTGTTTCACAGGATCATGGTTATACATTTCTTTTTCTGCAACTCAGTGCAGATGAACATGATGATCTGACCATTGTATACCCTGGCTACTGGCCCTGAGGCTTCCCAAAGGCACCCATGTACCTGCCAGCTCCAACACAGGACAGTAAACCATGCTAAAAGGGCAGTTATGATACAAAAGCTATCTCTCTGCCATCTTTACTGCATGCTCAGTGTCCTCCAGGGCTTTTGTACAGAGCTGCTTGTAGTCATCTGACACCATGGAGCCACAATATAGGGCTTGTCTTCTTTAGCCTTCAGTCCCAGGACAACGAAGCAGATCTTAGCATCTGTGACACTTTAGCATAAAAGAGGCTTTGGGCATCACTTGTTGGAAACATCAGGATCCTCTATGCTGTGACAAAGAAGTGTCTTAGTTATGTTCTATTGTTAATACCCTGGCCAGGCAGCATATATAAGAAAGCATTTAATTGGGATTATGGTTTGAGAGGGTCAGAGTTCATGATGGCAAAGCAAAGTCATGGTGACAGAAACATGAGAGCTCACATCTCAAACTGATAGCAGGAGGCCACACTGGGAACAGCATGAGTCTTTTGAAAACTCACAGTTCTTGGTGACACACCTCCTCCAACAAGGCCACACCTCCTAACTAATCCTTCCCAAACAGTTCCATCAACTGGGGGCCAAGTGTTCAAGTATATGAGCCTATGGGGGTGTTCTCATTCAAACATGTGTGTGTCTACCACTGTTTTGGGGGATGGGCAAGGCTTCCCTAATGGCTGCTGTCTTTCACCCTTAGCCCAAACCAAAACTAAAACAGTCTTGTCTTAACAGTTAACTTGTTAAACAGTCTAATCCCAGAGACCATCAGCCTTCCTCAAAGACCAGAGCTGGTTTCTTTCTGAGTCCACCTTGAATAAATAATAATAGCTGTGCTCATGAGTCCTTCCCTGATTCAAGATGACTTATAAAAACCAGGTTGGGGGCTGGAAAGATGTCTTAGAGGTTAAGAGCACTTGCTGCTCTTCCAGAGGTCCTGAGTTCAATTCCCAGCACCCACATGGTGGCTCACAACCATCTATAATGAGGTCTGGTTCCCTCTGCTGGCAGAACACTGTATGCATAATAAATAGAGTAAACATTTTTAAAAAAAGTTTAAAAAACCAGGTTGGTCCAAATCTTGTGACTCTGGTTCCTCAGACACCGAATGCTGAGGAGCTGAATGCCTGCTCTGCGTTTCTTTACTGATTAAGGGACATTTCCTATTTCCAGAATTTATTTAGTGTGTGTATGTATGTAGTTTACTTAGGGTGTGTGGGATGTGTCTTATATCTACTTGACACAAGCTAGAGTTATCTGAAAGGAGGAAATGCCAATTGAGAAAATGCCCCATTTTCTTAGTTAGTGATTGACAGGGGAGGGCCCAGTACATTGCAGTGCCACCCCTGGACTGGTGGTCCTGGGTTCTGTAAGAAAAAGCTGAACACGCCATGGGGAGCAAGCCAGTGAGCAGCACCCCCTCCACGGCCTCTGCATCAGCTCCTGCATCCAGGCTCTAGTCCTGCTGGAGTTCCTGTCCTGACCTCCTTCAGTGATGGACCACATCCAGGCTCTAGTCCTGCTGGAGTTCCTGTCCTGACCTCCTTCAGTGATGGACTATGGTAGAAGTGTGAGTCAAATAAACCCTTTCCTCCCCGACTTGCTTTTGCTCATGGCGTCTTATCACAGCAGTAGGCACCCTAACTAAGACAGGGGTTGTAAGTGTGTGCATATGGATGCGCGTGTGCATGTGTTTGAAGGTCAAAGGTCGACATTGGGAGTCTTCCTCAGTTGCTCTCCACCTTTTTTTTTTTTTTTTTTTGGTTTTACGAGACAGGGTTTCTCTGTTTTGGAGGCTGTCGGTCCAGCCTGGTCTCGAACTCA